GCTTACAACGGGCGCGGTCAGAGGTTAAATTCTGACATAACTCCGCTCACTGCAAGCCTCCGCGGACGGAAAACTGGTACCGTATTCGTTTCGGAGGATAAGAATCCTGGCTTCAAATTCGGCTGGCCCACAAAGTCATTGTATAGGTCATATCGCATTCACTAATCCCCTAAAATTCCTAATGAAAGTAGAATTCGTGCGCGAACTCGATGAAAGACTGATCAGTGACAGACATCTCGTCCTTTTATGGTAAAGTAAACAGGAGACATGATGTAAGAGGGGGTCGTAGTCACGTAATGAGACCAACCCCTTTTCTCCGCACCCTGATCAGAAAGGCGTAGTCTAGTATCGTCTGATGCTCTCCCCTTTACTAATCCTGACTCAATTTCATCGCCGGCAACTACGCGCCAGATGAAAAAAATGATGAGAAAATGGAAAAATTGGGTGTTTTCGTGATTTGGTCAAATTGCAGCAATAAGTGCAGGAACACGAAAAAGAAGAACAGGTTTCCTAATGCAGCCTTCTGGAGATAGCTGATAGCCATTTATCATTGACAACTTATTTCAAGGTGATGAATCATGTTGCGCTCCCTTGAAATGACCATGAAAATACAAAACAAGAAGCGTCGAATGAAAATTCGAAGCGCGGAAAAAATTTTTGTGGTACCACCAGGAATCTGCCATGAAGTAAGAAAGGCGGCCCTAATTGAGATTCGCCACGCCTTTGTCCATCGGCTGGCCCTACCTCTATGGACCGGCTACACACTTCAAGAGAGTTCTCGCACATACCCTGTTCGTAGGCTTGGTCAATTAGTCTGGCTCATCTACTCTCTGAGATAGTCCCTTTTTGCAGCTTCACCTAGGGAACGAAGGCGCTGCGGCCACATAGGAGGCAGTTCTGACGCCTCCCTAGTTGTCCCGCCCATCATAACTAAGAAGCTATTTTCTGTCACCAGTTCAGTTTCTGCACAGTGTTTTTGGTTTTCTTCTCGTTAGATGACATAGGCACTGGACGACGCGACGAAACGATTACTGAGCCAGAAACGGCAGGGTATCCCTTTGCTGGCGTAAACGAGCAAGTCCGGAGAACTCGCCCAGGACACTGGCAGGTCCTCACTTAAGGTGTTTTTCGTGATTTTCCTTGCTTTTTTCTCTCTGGAGAGTCATTTAGCGACTATAGGTTTGTAACTGACCACCACTATCCACAATATGTAATTGCGGGGTTCTTCTTTGGAACTCGGGACTTGACACACATGGTGTGTCTGCGAAGCTTTATAAAATCTATTCATCATTTTTTACGCCTTAGAAAGCAAACAAGCTTTGGGAAGAGAAGGCACACTTCACATGAGAGAATGAAAAAAGAAAAAGAGATGAAAACGATAACTCTTGATCATTGGTGTGAAAAGGGATAAAATTATGAGGAGATACCCGGCAGATGGCCGCGCTTACATTAGACGCATTTACAAGCTGCGACGGAAAGGAACACCTTTAGGGGACTGGTTAGTGTTGGGAACGTAATGTATATTACCCCACCAGCCCGAATATCAGGTAAACTTTTCTATCGCCACCCACTCTTCTCCAAACAATTTTAGACGCGTTCGCGCTGGGGGCTACTTTCCGTTGAATAAAAACTTCACCAATCCGATTTGCCCGGTGCCTTCCCTGTGAAGACGTGAAAATTCGCCTCTGTAAAGTATTACAATAGCAGGAAGTCTCCAAAGACTCAGCCGTATCTTACAAAGGTATGAGCGCCCGATAAATCTACAACCAACGGACACTAGCCACAGGATGCAGCTATAGTGAAATGCCTCCCAAGCCAAACAATGCGCCCAATATTCGCCTCTACATGCGGATAAGGTTATTTAAACGACCCTCGACAGCAATTTGGCAAGAAAATTTTAAGACGCAAGCGAGCGACTTTGTCACTGATAGATTATGCACAGCTCCATACAGATAATCCGACAAATCGAATCTCCAATCACTTAACAAGATCGAAGCGAGAACAAATTGAAAAACACCCAAAAAAGGCGAGCACCGCATGAGGATCGTTCTAATAATACGCGCTTGAGCCGGCCCGCGCCGGCTAACGAACGTAGCAAAGCCCACTTACTTCTTACAGCTGACCTCACGCAAAGCGTGCCGTTCTTGTGCCGATCAACGATCTCAAACATCTTACTCCCGACGCTCTTTTGCGCACTCAACGTCGCCTCCGCCACCCCTTCGTGTGTACGACACCTTACAGCCACAATTAATGTGCCTTGCCTCTCATGGACAAACTGAAACCGCCGGTCACTTAAAGTCGACATAGCATTGTAACACTCGAATCTCTGACCCAACCTCATTGTCTTCGATCAACCTCATGACAAAGACAAAATTCTCTTCCTTTCCTAGGATTTTGCAATTGGAGTCAAAGACAGGCACGCAGAGTTGGGTCACACCAGTGAGAAGGTTTATTTCGAATGCGCCAATGCATATCTCAAACTACAAGCGCAAGAACGGTGAACCTGTACCTTCATGGCCATCTAAAACACATAGAGCAATAGAGTCGTACTGTTTTCTCTGGGAGGAGGGGGTTGCCTTATACTGGTCCGGGTGCGCGACCGAGACGACGGCGTCGTTTAATACACGGTCGCTCGCCGAGAGAGGGTACCGCCGGTCCTATGAGCCCTGGTCGAGACGGCAATTGTGACGCGATCTTGACCGTTCCCGTTGTTGAATTTTTGCGTGAGAATTTTTCGTGTGTGTGTTGTATGTGATGGTGTGATGTGGGGATGCTGTGTCATGTGTATATGTATGTGTTGTGCATGTTATGTGTGTGTGGTGGATGAAGTTCGAAATAATAGGTGGGGTGGTGTTGTACCTACCACACCACCATCACACATCACGATGCTCTGTTACCGTGTGTGTGTGTAGTGTGTGTGTGGTGTGATAAAGATCAGTGGGGTGTGGTGTGTTGTGCGTGTGTGTGTACTACACACGTTACACATCCGATGCTGTACCGTCGTGTGTGTGAGGATGTGTGTGTGGTGTGTGTCGTGTGTTGTGTGTGTGTGTGTGCTGCGACACCGGTGCGATCACTCGTTGTCAGGAACGGAAGTCGCAAGGTGGGCGCTAACGCACAATCTCTGCCGTCAATCGCTCATCTACGTTCACGCCCGTCACGGCCCCCCACTCCCCCCCGCTGCCCCACACGTGTGTGTGTGTGTGTGTGTGTGTGTTGTCCTCACCACCAACCTCCACACATCACGATGCTGCTACCTGTTGTTGTATGTGTGTGTCGGTTGTGTGGTGCCCGTGCTCTGTGATGTACCCTACACCACCACCTCACACATCACGATGCTGTACCCTGATCCCAGTCCGCACCCCCTCCCACTCCCGCACTATGACCGTTTTCGGTGATGGTTTTGGGAGAAGAACGCCTGAAGTTGGGAAGAATTCAGGGAGGTGGAAGATAGGACGGGTGGGGCGGGGGGTTGGGAGGGAGGGAAGGGAATCTCTACGATAGATAGGATGGGGGATGAGAAATGGTGGTTCTGACTAGAAATGGAACTTCAAAGCGTGGAGGGGGTCGTAATTCACAAAAATTTTCTCCAACGGCAGAACGCCCTAGTTCGAGTAAACGAGGTAGTAGTCGTGTTGGCCTGCAGAGAGGGCTCTTCAAAATAGAGGGGCGTGAAAAATTCGGAGCACAACACTTCTACCTCCTATGGAGAAGAATAATTCCTCCCCAGTCACGAACCCCTATTTCCCAAGAGTGTTCACAAACCCCTTAGTTTTACTGAAAAGTCAACTAAACGGAGGTGAAAAAGTGGGACTTGAAGAGTGAGGGAGGCTTCACTGAGGGCAGTGGGAAGAGGAACATATCGTACTGAACCTCCGCCTTTCCTCAGAACCACGGCGTGTGTCCTGCTTGGAGCACAGGAACTACAACAGAAGCAAAATAATCCACATTTACTACCCTACTTCAGGACCTTCTATGGCGAAGATGCACAAAACGAGCTTCGAACAACCTCGGAACGTTGGGGGGGGGCATCCACGGGTAGAATGAAATACCATTCTCTAAATTGGCTGGGCAGTCCCGGAACCTCTTTTGATCAGGCGCCTCGGAACTCCTTCCCATCAGGTTTAGACAGGCACCCTATTCCTAGGGAATAAGGCCCCAGTCGGGGTATTTAGATCCTGCAGTAGAGGAGAACTTCTGCAAAAAAAACACCCTTCCTAAAAAATGCTTTACTGGCCCATTTTTACCACATTCCACGAAATCTTTCCGAGAATATCTCCACTTTTTCTCCAAAGAAAAACCGATTTCGACAGCGCAGTTGGAGCAGGAAAAGCCTAGAATACGATTTCCTCCTCTAACGACCAAGTACAACTCCATCCCCGGGTGTCAGGATAATCGTGATTCGCCGCGTTGGTGGGATTCGAGTGCGACGTCGCGCACATAAATGACCACGTTTCTAGGTCGGAGATGACGACAGCAGCTAATGTTCTACCGAAAATTGCTATAAATGTCCACAATGTCGCAGCTTACACAAAACCTGGAGCTCCAACCAACAGACTAAATTAAAAAAATGCCGCGCCCACGGCCGCACGCAACTGAGCGACAAATTACGGTTGTCTTGACCGTCTTCCCCTCCCCTCGCAGGAGATCTGCAACGTACGGCGCGCCGTGATCCTAGTTCCGAGGACAACGAGTCTCTTGAATGTTCTCTCCCAAGGTTACTATCGCCCAAGATGGCCCAGAAACTCATCTAGTCACACTGAAACCACACCTCTTCGGCCAAAATATCCGAAATCGTCTCCACTTCATCGGATTCCCGTTGTCGAGTGGTTAGCCGATCGAGTAGGTTCAGATGAAAGACAAGTAACGCATCCAGTACATCCGGTATCAAACGATTCAAATCTGCTTCGAGAAGTATGTTTTCTTGTAGAAGTCGGTTACGGTAACCCTGAAAAATAGTTTTGTAGAGAAAGGGCGATTCTTTCATTGCCTCCTTGATTGAATTTCTAGCCACACGTGGAATTACTTAAACACAAAAACTCGAAAGGGGCCAGTCTGCGCAAGAACAAAACATGAGCGAAATTACCTGTTGTAAAAACGCAAGATGAGCACAATGGGACTTCTCGATCAATATCAACTCTGAAAAATCAATAATTCAAATGGACTTTGTGAGTGATGTTTTGCGTTCAGTGCGACACTTGAGATTTGGAGAACAGGCTTGACATTCGACGTCAACAATGGAAAACTCTACGAT